GACAAGATTGATTCGAGCAAAGTGGCAAAGTGGCACAATTAGTAGTGGAACTCTGTGCTGGTTGCTGAGGATGAGGACGAAGCGCTTTGGGATTACCCTGAGTGCTGTGATTGTTGATCGCATGACCTACCGAGTGATTGTTGACCACATGAATCGAGTGTTTGTTGGCCACATCACCTACCGAGTGATAGTTGACCACATTACCTACCGAGTGATTGTTGACCACATAAACCGAGTGTTTGTTGACCACATGACCTACCGAGTGTTTGTTGACCACATCACCTACCGAGTGATTGTTGACCACATCACCTACCGAGTGATTGTTGACCACATCACCTACCGAGTGATTGTTGACCACATCACCTACCCAGTGATTGTTGACCACATCACCTACCGAGTGATTATTGACCACATCACCTACCGAGTGACTGTTGACCACATCAACTACCGATGCGTCTGTTGACCACATGACCTACCGAGTCATTGTTGACCACATGACCTACCGAGTGATTGTTGACCACATCACCTACCGAGTGATTGTTGACCACATCAACTACCGAGTCATTGTTGACCACATGACCTACCGAGTGATTGTTGACCACATCACCTACCGAGTGATTGTTGACCACATCACCTACCGAGTGATTGTTGACCACATCACCTACCCAGTGATTGTTGACCACATCACCTACCGAGTGATTGTTGACCACATCACCTACCGAGTGATTGTTGACCACATCAACTACCGATGCGTCTGTTGACCACATCACCTACGCAGTGCTGATTAAAATATAGGTCTATCAACTTGATTTATCCGTATCTCTTATTTCTAGCTGATTTACGATAACTATTGTCATTCTGGACATCATCTATATTCTCTTACGGTGTACCAAAAAAATGTAACAGAGGAAAGACTGAAAGCAGGAAAGAAAACAGGAAAGAGAAAGAACGAGTGGGTATATATAAATTATACATATTTATATATACCCACTCGTTCTTTCTCTTTCCTATATATATATATATACATACATGATAGAAAGTGTTTAATTTTCACATCATCGCGAAAAGGTCACCCATTTGCTGACCGGTAGACGACTTCGTCGCCGGACGGGACAGTATTTGGGTTTGTCTCCTTTGATCGCATCAACATCGCAAGAGTCTTGTTCCTGGCTACTTAGTGGCCAGCAATGTTAAGCCATTTTATCTGGCGCATAAACCTTTTCACAATTATAACCAGAAGCTCCCCTTTCGGGATACTGGTTGAACGTGACGATTGTTTCCCGCAAGGCAAGGTTAATATGAAATAAATTAAGAGATTTAGTGTGTTTGTATGTGTGTGGTACTTGATCTATGTTTGTTACACAGCTATCTAACCGTTAGCTTGAATGTGGCAGAGTGTGGATATTAGGCTAGGCTTGCCTGTGAATCTTTGTCGTGCTTTAAACAAAAATTCACCTGTAAACTTTACTTAAACCTCCGGTATCGGAGTTGACAGGCAAGCATACTAGCTGAGCCCTGCGATTCACAAAATGGTGGTATATAAATACCAGGTGCATGTCAAATTTCGAACACACCTACAAACACAACCGCCTTTAAACTCTTGCATAACTTTTTTTTTTAAGCAATAAAGCAATACAGAAGGAGGCATCATGCTTTATTTAATAAAACACTAAAAACATTTTTTTTTTAAAGTTATGTACATTGTCTGCATAGTAGAATCTCTGGATATCATCTTTCTATGTACAGTAACATGACTAGAAAACTCGCTTGTGTAAACCTTTCGATAACTCGTAAAATTCATGAAAGGAAACGTTATTCACATATTCCGAATTTTAACAACAGGGGAAGACAGAAATATAGGCACACGTGGTACTCTTGAATGATTTATATTTTGCCCGTATAAAAGAATCAAATTTAAAATATATATATATAAGTAAACAAGGAAACATTTTAACATGTACAATGTAACAATTCTCAGTTATCTGTCACGCACATAGTAACATTTAAAATTAATAAAATATATAACCATTTGCACAATCAACCGAAGTAAAATTTGCTCAAGCACTAGCTACATTCGTTCAATGGAAGTAACCACATAGAGTAATTAGTAAATGTTTGACAGCTGTTCATATGTGATGATGAATTAACTTGTACACAGTATCGTACCTTCTTCTATATACCGGTACAGCAATAGATAATTTTTGTAGATGAGTAGATTTTGCTGCATCAGTATATGCCCAAACATACACTAATTACTAATACAAACATACACATATATTGGTAAGCTTTCGTCAAGAACTCATAAAACCTTAGCCCTCAAAGTTAAAGGATATTGTTAGGGATTTTTTGACACCCCCCTTCTTCCCCCCCCCCCCCCCGCCCCCAAACAAATGATAACGCTAGGAAATGCAATTCAGTATTCGACTTAGCGGTTACATCCTCCATGTAAGGAAAACAAATTTCAAACATTCTCTCTCTCTCTCTCTCTCTCTCTCTCTCTCTCTCTCTCTCTCTCTCTCTCTCTCTCTCCCCTTCCTCTCTCTTTCTCTCTCTCTCTCTTCCTCTCTCTCTCTTCCTCTATCTCTATCTCTTCCTCTCTCTCCCTTCTTCTCTCTCTCTCTCTCTTTCTCCCTGTCTCTGTGCGTCTCACACATTCACTAATATATTTACACGCAATGCATGTGCACATATTGTATACAGTATACAAGTATATATATATATATATATATATATATATGTATATATATATATATATATATATATATATATATATATATCTACTTGTATACTGTACAGTGTATGCTGAAACATTAGTACCTTCAGCAGTCGTTTAATCACAGAAATAGAAATGCCAAAGATTACATTAACTCATTAACATAACCAGTCTCATAATGTGCAACAATATTAAGGAACATACTGGGATAAGGTTAAAGATAACGATGATGAAGAATTCAAGAAACACGAATAATTTGTATCTATTACGCTGCCCAGTAAATAAGATTAAAGAGCCCGCAACAGCTGTTACTCCATATTCGTCAAATCTAAATGTCCTGTATTCCAGTAATCTCCACCAAGAAAAAGTTCCTAAGACAATTACTAACACCACCTTATTAATAGTGTGTTCTGTGTTAAATCCCAACCAAGACAGGATTAACCATGAGGCACACTAAGTACGTGCTTAGGGTATCACAAATAGAGGGGGCACCACACAGACATTTTCAATAGTCTTGGGGCTGCGCGTTTATTTTCTAGATTGAAGTATATTTAAAAATCAAGTCAGAACAACAGGGTAGGCTAAATGCCTTATCTCTATTAGGTATAGAAGCAGATTTGTTACATAAGATTAATTTGATGATGAGTCAATGATATAAAAATAATTTTCTACCTCCGTTACTTGTCATGATGACTCAGGCATCAAATACAGCAGTGGCAAGAAGAAGAGAAAGAAAAATTGCCTGTGGTGCAATTTGAACATAGAAACGTGTATAATTGCAAACATAATATATGCAAAAGTCAGCTTTCATTAAATAAAATGTGCACGGGAAAAAGAAGAGGAGGTAAGAAAATAGTAAATAAATGTTAAACATTCAGGTCACTTAATTAAAAAAGTGCCTTACAAACTCAAGTGGATCAGTCACAGTTGCGATAGTTTGGACATGTATGCAGAAAGGTAAAAAATAGGCCACCATGACAGGCATGAGAGGCTCAGAACCAGGGTCCGCTGGAAAGACAACATCCGACAGTCCCTAACTGACAAAGGACTTGAAGGGAACAAATCCAAAATGAAAAGTACAGATACAGAAGTCTGACGATCTTTCTGGAAAAACTCTACACCTCAAAGTAGAAGAGGAGCAACTAAGTAAAATAATAATAAAGTTAGAAGTAAAAACATCTACAGCTGTCTAAACATGTTGAGAACTGGAACAATAAAGGCAGTCGCCGTGGCGGAGCGGCTAGACGCTCGCCGCGGATCGGAAGGTCGTGGGTTCGCTCCCTGACGGAGCCGGACATTTTTCAAAAATGACCTTGGCTCCCAGGTCTAGCCAGCCTTGAGTGGGTACCGGGTGCGGTCCCGGGAAGTATAGGCGGCCGGCGTGATGCTGACCACATCACCCTTCTTGTGCCGATTGGTCAATAAAATATTGGTCTAGCCCTATATGCCCTCAAACGCCTTTAGGCGTGGAAAAGGGTCCTTTACTTACTTACTGGAACAATATGACATTGTTTTGAAGTGAAGTATAGTTTTAATGGACAGTGATGGTTATGGAAAACATACCCCTAACATCTAGGTCGTGGTGATTCTAGGCATTATACTTCCATTATCATGACTTTTTTTGTTGTTGTACTGGTGACACAATTTTCAGGCAAACATAAATTCGTGTCACATTAATGAAGTCGACTAGCAAAACATGCGTTAAACTGACCCTTTAAAAGAGTTACGGACACACTTTCTTGTCACATGCATTCGCAACACAGCCGTCACACTAATGTATCGCGACACCAGTTTGAAAAGCCCTGGGCAATGCAGTTGGTAGTATTTCTAGGCAATATGATGTTAACAGATAAGTAATAGAGGTTGTAGGCAACGTATCTCTAAAACAAAGGCAGTAGTTGTTATAGGCAGGGCATAGGCATTGTCCAACATGTGTAGCTCAACAAGGCTGTACAAGTTTTGGGCGGCAAAATATTGAGGGCGGCGAAATATAAGTAGTAATAATGACAGTTCAAAGTTGTACTGCTTTTCTCATTATGAAACCCACAATAGATTAGCGCTCTGGCATTCAGTAGTATGACAACAGCGATGTTGAAGAGTTTAGGTGGGGAAAGTGTGGCAGGGCATAAAATAAATTACTGCACAGGGGTATCATACATCTAAAATACGACCCTGGCTGTTGGCAATATACCCCCTCCCCTTCCCCCAACAGCGAGGCAGTGGTGATTCTAGGCAACATCTTTGTAACAACTAGACGATGATTGTTCTAAGCAACTCCTTCCAACAGCTATGATCCCTCACTACTAAAGCCTCCAGTTATTGCCAGATTGAGTAGATCGGTGTCAGAAGGTGTTTCTGGCATCCATATTTTGGCCGACAAAGTGCTTTTACCGTTGACTTCACTTTTTCTGTGTGACCATGACAGTGAGTGTCCAATTAGTGTTTGACCGCTGGCATACTCGTCGTCGTCTAGATCTGCGAAAGAAAAATAGTAAAGTGTTTATAGTCAGCACTAAGATGGCATATACATTCAGAATTATCATCGGACTTCAATCCGCAACCAGCCAGGATTTTTCTTCCCTTCTTCAGATTTGACCTTGGCTCCCTAACTGACCCCGCCGAAAGTGGATATCAGTAATACGTATCGTATGAAAAGAAACAAAAATTCCAAACTTAGTCCTTTTTTAACTGCCTGATGGCCTGTTTTCTCAAGGACGAGTCATTTGCTATCTGAGCTGGATTTTTTTACTTTTGTGGCGATGGTTTTCGCCTGAGTTTTCTTGCATTTGTTGCGTTCTCGTTAGCAGCGTGAGCTTGGCGGGCGGCTTGCGGGTTTAGGGTGTGGACATGGCTGTCCTGAGAAGGACAGCCACATGTGCCGGGTGGCCTGGGACGGGAAGGGTGGGAGTGGTCAATCTTGGCTGTCGATGCCTGGCTGGTCTCTGGCAAGTGGGTTTTTTCCAGTCCGGTGGGAGTGGTTTGGTATGTCATGGCGGCCTGGTCGGTTCTGGTTGGCTGATGTCTATCGGCGCCTGTTCGGTGTTCCCCGAATCCTCTGACTCCTTTTTGTTTCTTTTATTCGATAGTGGGTGTCGTTCACTTGTTCCCAGAACCTGTTCAATTTTGAGATGTAGGCTTTGCTTTCCTCGTTGAATATGAGTTTGCCACTATTGTATATTTCCCGGTCATATTCGATGATGTAGCGGCCGCCTTCAAATTTGATCTTGTGTGGGAGATTTTCTTTTTTGTTGAAAACTTGCACCATTTCCCTTAGGCCGGCTTCGCTTATGTCCTTCGGGACTATAATTTCTTCTGCCTCTGGACTCAGTGTTGTCGCCTCCGCTTGTGTGTTTTCTTCGTCGGATATGATCTCTCCATCCGACTGTTCGGTTTCTGTGATGACTGGGATCTCATCTGCGGTTGGGGTCGCCTCTGTAGCTTCGGACACGGTTTCTTCAACTGGCTGGACGGTGCCTCCCTCATCGGTTTCTGTTTCAGTACTTTTGTCAGCCCTGCTGATGTTTGCTTTGGCGGCTGGTGCCTTGTTTTTCTCTGCTAGTAAGAGTTCTCGTTCTTGTTTTGATTCTCGCGTAGATGCTTCTGCTTCTGCTGTTGTTTTTACTAGCAGGGCGACTTCTCTGTACGCGGACTCTCTTGCTTCGTTAAGTAAGGCCGTCTCTGCCTTTCTTTCTTCTCTTTCTGCTAGTCGGTAGGTTGCTGCCTGGTCCTGTTCTGTCTTCAGCTGTGTCAGGAGGCCTTGGAGTTTTTTGTTTGCTTCAGTTACTTCTGCAAGCAGCTTGGTGTGGTGCGCAGCTTCTGCTATTCTGTCTCGCTTCTGGGCTCTGACTTCGTCTAGTGTTTGGGAGATTAGTCCCAGCATCTCGAGTCTTTCAGCGGTGGCCTTCTCTTTGTCTGCTGTCAGCTTCTGGACTGCGATTTGGAGTGCTCTCACTTCCTGGGTTGTCGCGTCGTTGTTAGCGACTGGAATCACTTTCTCTGGTCTTCTCTCACCTCTTGGAATTGCTGTTTGCTGCTTGCACTTTTTTAGGTAGGTGCAGCCCATGTATCTGGCGCTGTGTGGCCCTCCACAGTTTGAACACCTTCTGCTGCTGTTAGGCTTTTTAAAGTCGGGGTCCTTCTTGGCAAGTGGGCACTCTTTGAAGTCGTGCGGCTTAGAGCAGTAGCGGCATGCTGGGCTGCTGCGGCAGTTTGCGGCTGTGTGCCACGCCTTGTTACAACGTGAGCACTGGATGATGATGTTGTCACTGCTGTGGGCTCCTGGCTGTCTTTGTAGGCGGGTGCCGGTAGGTTCCTGCGCCACGACTGGGGCGGCTTCTTGTGCTGGCGTCGGTGTGCGAGGCGCCGCGATAGGGGCGCCTGCCGGTGAGGCTGCTGGTACGGCTCTCCTCTTCCTTGGTGTAGGTACGGCTGCTTGTTGTTCTCCCATGATAGGAAAATCAATGATGGCAATTGCGGTCTGTGGCGAAAGCTAGGTCCCTTCGGAGTCGGCAAGGCTTGTTAGAGTATCCTAAAAAGGACACCCAAGCGTGCTTTCTCCTTAGTTCTCTAGCAATCGTTAAAGAAAAAACTGGCTGGTATGACTGGCTCTACAACAATGATGTGCTCCCGGGCCGCCAATAACCCACCCGCAGACGAATAACAATAGTCTAGTCGAGCCAAAACTCAGCCGAATGTCAAGCGAGTTCTGACCAGTATCTAGCTATTGATAATCTGGCTACGGATGGATAGTTAGCAAGCAACGAGAGACACACGTGGCTTTATCGGGCGGTATCGAGCGAGCGAGAGAGAGCTGTGTGCGACTTGGCTGTCGGGCTGCGAACGAATGATGATATCAGTAATATCCTACAGGGCTATTGAACTAGCCGCCGGCTGGTCAAATTGGCCAATGGACGCCTGAGAAGTGACCCGCAGATCATTACCTATGGTATTAATGATCTTTCTATGTTGAGGCTCAGGCTCGGGTAGGTGACGATCATTATTTTCACCATTTTAGTTCCTCAGTAAACTTGGTGAAATAGCAATGTCCTAGGAAATGCAGGCCACCGGCGTAATATTGACCACACTACCCATCGAGTGTCAACTGGTCTATAAAAATATGAGCTATCATTATTAGGTAATGCATATCATATAAACTGTGCACTATTATTAAAAAAAATAGGGTTTCCAGCGCATTTAGTGCATTTAATTGAAAATCCTTATCATGAACAACAAGTAGCCATCAGAGCAGCTGGTGAAACATCTGATTGGTTCGAGGTGCAAAAGGGGTTGAGGCAGTGGTGCATTCTCTCACCATACCGATTCAATATATACGCATAAAATATAATGAGAAATGACAAAAATGACCAGATTTGTGACAGTTATGATCCGCTCAAAATTGGTGGCAACTCTATTCAGGAACTCCGCTACGCAGATGACACAGTCGTCCTTTCGAACAGCGTAAAGGGAATAGAAAATTTAATATTGTCCGTCCAAAAGCCCAGTGAAGATAAAAATCTGTTCTTGAATTTTGAAAAAATAAATGAAAATGATTACCACAGATAAAACTGGCTACCACCCAAAAATAACAATAAATGATGAAGAAATCGAAAATGTCACTCACTTTGAATATCTAGGGTCTATAATAAACAACAATGGAGATTGTTCAACATAAATTAAAAGGAGGATGGCCATAGCAATGCAAAGATTGAACAGCCTTAAAAGTCTATGGTTTAGCACCAGCAAGGAGATACAAATTAGAATTTTGAGAGCATGCATCTTCCCTGCGGCTACATACGGATGTGAGTCATGGACTATCTCTCAGTCTTTAAGAAAGAGAATAAGGGGCTTTTGAGTTGAAATGTTGTAGAAAGATTCTCAGAATATCTTGGACAAAGAAGAGGAGAAATATTGACATTTTAAAAGATCTGAACATCAAGAAAGATTGGCTAATAAACAGCATCCTTTCTCGAAAGCTGAAATATTTTGGTCATATCAAGCGCCACGGCGGATTGGAATAAAATTACAGCAGAAGGCATGGTACCAGGAAGTAGGAGCAGGGGCCGACCGACTCGAAGATGGGCACTGGATATAAGTGACACCTTGAGTGTGAAAGTTCATGAGGCGGGAAAAATGGCAAGAGACCCAGTTTTTTTTTTTTTTTCAGGCAGACTGTGATGAGAGCGACGTGCTGCAAAGGACCTGCTACATGATGATGATGATGATATCATTATTAGGGGATGCATCATAGATGTAGAGAAAGTCTGCTGAAGAGAAAGTCTTTTAGCTTCAGTACTTGTACTTGTGTACTTATATTGTATCTCATTGTGATGCAGTTTGAAATCAGCCCAGGTACCTTTAATTTACGACTGCGCCAATTCAGATACATATCATTTACCATGGCAATAGAAATCAGTGTGCTGTGTTTTCTTGAGCCTGAGTTCATGTCGAATGTAGAAAGATCATGAGGTAACTCGCTGTAGGAAACCACGAATGCTCTCCTGCCCGCGCAGTGATCACATACATGTTCAATCCCTGCCTGTGGGGTCGACCCAGTTTTAAATTAGTAACAGGAAATTTCTTGCGAAACGAAGCTTTTTATTGCAATTCTGACCTGATAATGTCACAAATTGAGTTGGCGTTGTTTGGAGAGAAAAAAAAAGGGGGGGGGGGAACTCTGGTGTTAATAGAAACAGAAATAATATTAGAAAAAAGTTACACTATTATGATCAACCACTGAATTAGAAACATGAACTGATATAGAACTAGCCACAACTGAATAAACAAAGCAGCTATTCAATTATGCACGTGTCGCAATGTGTTTCTTTGTGGTTTTAGGACACACACAGGCTATGGTAAGTAAATATCATCTAAAATGCCATGTAGTTCAATCTTCACCGCTAATCTGCGGTATTTGTGTTACTTGTATTTATCACTGTATGATCATATTTAACATTACAAACCGATTACTCAGTAGTAGGTTTACATAATGTATGTGTGTATGAGAGAGTGTATGTGTGTATGAGAGAGTGTATTTGTGTATGAGAGAGTGTATGTGATAGAGAGAACAAGGTTTGAGGTGAGAGGGGAGTGGGTTTTAACATGTGTTGGGAGCGTGGCATAATCTGTTTATGTCGACACATTTTAGGCGTGTCAGGCATATGTTGCTAGACCTAATTGTTGTAGACCATTCGACAGTAAGTGGGTGATGTGTTCATCATCAAGTTGACCGCCTTTACTTTCCATGACTTTACCTGATATCCGTTCATGGCAGGGTCTCCCATATAGCCAATGCCATTTTTTTGAGAAACAATCCGACTCGATGCTGATTTGAACACAAAACCTTGGAGTGTCAGGCGAGAGTCTAGTCACTACACCACCGCGGCTCGGTATGTGTTAGGAATTCCAGAATCACAAATAGACGTTGAGAATGCCAGTCACAAGTAGACGTTGAGAAGAGAATGCCAGAGTCACAAGTAGACGATGAGAATGCCAAAGTCACAAGTAGACGTTGAGAATCCCAGAGTCACAAGTAGACGTTGAGAATGCCAGAGTCACAAGTAGGCGTTGAGAATGCCAGAGTCACAAGTAGTCGTTGAGAATGCCAGAGTCGCTAGTAGGCGTTGAGAATGCCAGAGTCACAAGTAGACGCTGAGAATTCCAGTTACAAGTAGATGTTGAGAATGCTAGAGTTATAAATATATGTGGGTGAACATGTGTCATTAGCAGATACGTTGAAAATTCCAGTGTCTGGAGCATATGTTGAGGATTTCAGAGTCATGAGTAGGTGTTGAAAACTCCAGACACACAAGCTGATGTTAAAGATTCTAGAGTCACAAGTAGATGGTGAAGATCCACTGGTCACAAACTGATGTGGCCGAACAAGAGGCACAAGTATATGTTGAAAGAATCCAGAGTCGCAAGTAGATGTTAAAAATTCCAGAGTCACAAGTGGATGTAAATGAGCAAGAGTCATTAGTAGAAACAAATGATTGCAAAAGCCACCGATGAGTGAATGTCATTTCAGATTCACATGCAGATGTTAATAATTTCAGAGTTACAGATTGGTTAAAAATAAATCTGCGACAGGTCGGCAAACCGGTAGAAGATGTAACGGTCTAAACAGTGGTGGGTGCCCTTGAAAAATATATGGGCGTGCTAATCAAGACATATCTAAACATAAATATTGATTTATTTACTCATGTCTTTATTTATTTATTTGAAAAAGTGTGTGTGTGTGTGGTGGGGGGGGGGGACAACCCTTTGCTACCAGTGTCAGACACGAACCTTTACTACAACTCATTTTCCTGTGTGGTGCCAAACAGCGTTGGCGGTCATGTTTTACAATCCAGCGCAATTACCAGAATCACTGATCGGGTCAGAGTTCTTGTCTCGTCTCATCTACATGGCCTGGACATCTAGGTATTTATCTATTTGCCTTCCTCCAGCTCTCTTTCCATCAATTTGTTGACGCCACCAAGTTCTCCATTCCTTCTCATAACATGACCTTAAAACACCGTCTACTCAAACTGTTTTTACAGATTCAGACTTTCATCTGTCTCGGAAAGGACTTCTTGCTTTGTTTTTACATCACACCATGAGTGCCACAGTTAATGAGAGCAAGATCATAACACCTAATGTGATGTCTTAGAAGAACTGTCAGAAGTAACAGGACCATATACAATGGAGGGGGAAAAACAGAAATTACTGAAGAAGACTGTGAGTGAAACCAGTCATTTAGGTAATAAAAGAGCAACAAAGGAGATGGTTAAGCCAGTTGGTGAAAATGCTTGGTGCCATCTGTAGCAGACTGCAACACAGAAGAAAAATAATTAACACAGAGCAAGGAAATACTAAGCAAAAGATTAAACAATGGCATTGAGAAATGCCTTCAAAAATAAAGATCAGATAATGCAATGCACTAGAGAGACAGACCAACCATCGTATCTCTACATATTACCATAACACTTCCATCGGGTTTGCAGGAGGGAAAAAAAAAGAAGCAGAAGACTGCCAGACGCTGATGAATCCAGAGAAACCAGCAGATGAGGATGCTTCTGATATAGATGTGATTATAACAAGGACACACTTGTCAACTGAAACAAACAACCTGTGGATTGTTTTATCACCGAACGACAGAAACACTAAGAATGTTGTTAAAAACCCACTGCGTCTCTGCTTTATCAGATAAGACTCACCGTCTGGCTAGAGGTCGCCCGGCTCTCGTCGCACATCAAAACAGTTTGCTAGATAAGGAAAGTATACCTGAGAAAGTGTGAGAGCTGCCCAGGTGTCAACGTTGATCACTCGCCACCTGATCTGATTCCATCGCACTTGTTTCTGTTGTATTTCTTTGTTCGCGTGCCAGTTTATTTGAGCAAGCGAGTATACACAATTAAGTTGATACCTCTCAGAATTTCCCCACTCGTGTTTGGTCTTTGGTTGTAAATTAATTTATTGTGTGTGTTTTGATATAATTTTATCATTACTAATAAATGTTAGTGCCCGTGAGTTTACTTATAAATACTCACGCTCCTGAAGTTAGGGTTCAAGGGTCCCCCCTCTGTTTATTATATAGGTCCTAAAGCAAAGGTTCAAGGGTTTCCCCATTTGTTTATTATGTAGGTCCTAAAGCAAGGGTTCAAGGGTTCCCCCTCTGTTTATTTATGTCCTAAAGCAGACGGAGAACTGTTCTCTTTTTCATGTCTTCATCCACATTTGTCTTTTTTTTAGTACGTTTAAATTAAATGTCTTCAGTAGCAATCTGGCGTTTTGTTCTGTTTTTTTTTTTTTTAATTAGCTTTATAAATTTGAGGATGGCACAAACAGATGACTCATTCGTATTTTTAATAGCCCTGCATTGTGCTTTCAGAACCAACCTGACATTTCATCTATGTTAGTTCCATCTATGTTAGTTCCATCTATGTTAGTTCCATCTATTTTTAAAAGTCAGATAGTGAACTCTAATATGTTTCTTCTTCTTCATCTTCTTCTTATTATTATTATTTTTAATTATTATTATATTTTATTCTTTATCATTTTCTTCTTCTTCTTCTTCTTTTTCTTCATCTTCTTCTGCATCATCTTCTTCTCTTCTTCTTCTTCTTCCTCTTCCTCTGCTTCTTCTTCTCCCCCCCCCCACCCGTCTTCCACGTCTTGCTATTTATAATTATTAATAGCTATTATATTTCTTCTTTAAGTTGGCTATAGAAACAGTCTGGGTTTTCTTCATGTTATAAGTTAAGTAAAGGATCCTGTTTACGTCAGTGATGTAGTCATTCGTTTTTTTTTTTTTTTTTTTTTTTTTTTTTTTTTTTTGGATTACTGGGAACTCGGTGGCTTGATTTTCTCATCACGCTGCCTTTATTTTTCAGGACATTACCTGGTACCCCTTTTTAGGCTGGATCTACTTAGAAACTAAGATCAATTCTGAAGAAGAAAACAAAAACAAATCTTCTTGAAGGAATTGACGCTAGCTGTAAACTCCCCAGGCTAACATACCGTGAATGTTAATATGTATTAATCAGCAGTTTATGAAACATGTGGTTGTCTATTAAAATATCTTCTTACCCGATAAGTGACACCTGAGGATGATTTTTTCCTGAGATTTCCGATGCTTGGCGCTGTCTTTGTGATCACCACATGACTTGACCACTTCTGATAGATAAGAGATGTAGCGGATTGCCTGGCGGAGGGTGTCTACCTAGAAACAAAACAGCACACTTAGTCAACATGCTGATTAAACATCTTTGACAACGTTTTATTAACGATTTACGCCTAGAGTAGTAACTCAGTCAATCAAGTGGCGTCTAGACAATACAGGTTGATCGCATTAGATTTCAAAGACTGCCTCTGATTCTGTTGTACACTTTATTTGACTGCTGTTCAAGATCTCTAGATATTATCCTCTAGTTTGTAGAGGGTTGCGTGGTGTCCGCCTGGAGTGCTAGGGGTTCTGGGTTCAATTCCTGGTAAGGGCTGGGATTTTTTCACGTGGACTTGGACTTCTAGTAATTCCCCTGTCTCTGGGTAGTGAGATCGGACGCCCGTGTGCATGGTTGCGCACATAAAAAAAAACCTTGGCCGATGGAAATCGAAAAGAGTAGCCTGACGGCGCTGCCCGGACAAAATTTGCAGTTTAAAATCTACCCAAAGTATTTCAGGATCCTCGCCGGTGCTACAGAGCCTGTGCACTGTGCTGAGCTTCTTCGGACTCAGACTTGAGTTAGAAGAAGAACGGAGCACTTATGGTTTACACCCGTGTGCCATGATGTTGATCCGTTGTTCCAAAACCTCAAACCTCCAGTTTGTATCAACGTTTGCGTCTTGGTCGCTTGCCTTCAACTTTTACCCTAGAATTATTTTATAAAGTTTTATGGTTTTTATACCTAACTAGATCATTTACATGCATTTTTATTTTTAACTTTTTTATTTTTTTATATTTTGAGACAGTTCTTTGAAAACGTCATTGGTGTGTATATGAAATAATGGAGGAGATAAAACTTTCCTTGAAGTACTCGAAGGCATGGCAAAATGATTTGTTCTTTTTGTTTTTTGAGTATCTGGGTTCAGGCTTTCCTGTTATGTAGGCATAGACATTTCAACAGTTAAATAAAGATACCATTCTTTTAATGGCCTAAACCAAAACGTATGTCATTCAAACAGGCATTGTCCATCTATGATCTAGCCAAATTTAAGGCCACCGTGTCAGCAAACGACAAGTTATCAGCCATATTGTTTAGCTAGTGAAAATTACACCGCTAAGTATGCAGCATGGACCTAAGGATTAAAATTACTTCTGCTTCAAACTCGAAATATACTCTTGAGACATTTGATGATACTTTTATGATATCAATGTTTATCAAATTCAACATTATAGTCATATGTCATCATCCTCACAGTCAGACATCGGTTTTCACGAATTTGGCAACGATTTTATTATTGTGAACAGACAATGGGCAGCTTCACCTTCAGTCTTTTGCACGCCATTTTGAATCGCGAATACCTTCTAGATACATGAGAAAAGTCTCATTGAGAGAAACCCTTCAAGTTAAAGCAAAGGACGCCCGGGTCATTTTTGCCATCGTATTTATTTAATTTACTTCTTAGACTTTCGGCTCTGAAACTATCTGCACTCATTGTCTTCTTTATCCCCAACCTCTTCTTAAATTCCCTGTCTACGTACAACAGGGTCCAACGCATCCTGTTCCCACGAATTCACCTCTCTGCCCATATCATTCATGTTTTTCTTGTGGGAATTTCTTTTATCGTATACGAGACAGACCTCGATATCTTCAGCTCATCTGTAATTCACAGTAGAAACCGTTAGGGACTCTACCATTCTCTATTGCCCAGGTGTGTCCTAACCGTCTGAGCTTTTGAAGACTGGCCACAAATAAGTCTTTATTTCAGTATGAGACATTGCCTCTGCGTGATCCACTTGGCAAGGTTTCTTGATCTACTTGGCGTAGACATTTATTGAATTCATTTGTTCATATCCCTGTCTCCAATGGATTGTTTTGCTGTTGAATGTGTTGGTGCAGAGCTTGCATAAAGTTCATTCATCTTTGCCTTCATGAAGTTTCCTCTGTTTAAGTCGCTTATGCTTATTCCATTTCCTGCCAATAAGGTAACTGGTCGATATTTGATGTCACTACGTTTTCTAACAACACGTGTAAACACTCCATTATAATCTGGCCAGTGAAAGTCACACACATATGCGGTGGAGATAGGTAACGTGACCTTGAGTAGACAGTTACTGGAAAGTTTTGTTATATATTATGTATAACGTCTATAGAGGCCATCTCTGGCCGCTAAAACAAAACAAAAATCATGTTTCACATCGAGGGACGCAGGAGATCATGTTACTCAATATTGAGTTGTATTTTAATTATTATGCTCACCAAGGTGTCATCTATATGGAGCCAATCTACTGAGAGAGTTTGTAAGTCTTTCGAGAACGGCCATATCCAATTCACTGGTAGCAATTCACCTGAGTGACTTAACATCCAACACATTTGTGTGTGTGTGTTTTTTTTTTTTTTCTAATATCTTTCAGTAACGGACCCTACAGCTCACGGCTTTTTCTGGCCAGTACGTATTTCCGGTGACCATACGTGTGTCAGGTATTCTACTGGCTAATAGAAATGTGATTTATATCGGAGATAGGTCAGTTAAGATATCTTGTGTATTCTGGTTTGTACTAGTGGCATTGTAGATTTATGAGGTTTGAGGTTTGAACAACGGATCAACATCATGGCACAAGGATAGTAACCCATAAGTACTCCGTTTTTCTTCAAACACAAGTCTGAGTCCGAAGAAGCTCAGCACAATGCACAGCCTTTGTAGCACCGGCGAGGATCCAGAAATACTTTGGGTAGATTGTAACTAAACTGTGCCAGGGCAGCGCCGTAAGGCTACTCTTTTGATTTCCAACTGCCATGGGATTTTTTTACGTGCGCAACAATGCCCAAGGGCGTCGGATCTATCTACCCAGAGGCCAGGGGGAATTACTAGATGTCCAAATCCATGTGAAAACATCCCAGCCCTTATCGGGGATTGAACCCGGACCTCTAGCGCGGACACCATACCTTGAGACCGCGCAGCTCCCTTGTAGATATATGAAATGTGCTGATGGAGGATCTCTCGGCGCAGCGTTCACCTGTTGGTGTCTGTGATACTGCGAAGCTGACAGGTTCTGTTTTTAGTTTGGTTTGATATCTTTTTATAATGTTGCCTAATAAACATCGGTTCTTTGTGCTCACTATAAGTCCGACAATGGTCACTTGCAGTGTCACTTTGTCAGTCCATCAAGGTTTGTCTTCACGTGTAGACCTTTGCTTCAAACCACTAGATCTTGCTAGTTATCTCATAGTTCTCGAGCTGGATGTAAAAGGCTCTTTCTGCCAATTTTTGATATTTATAAGTCGTCCTCTCCATCCCCTCCTCCGCTTGTTCTTCCTCTTCTTCCTCTTCTTCCTCCTCCTCTTCTTCTTCTTCTTCTTCTTCTTCTTCTTCTTCTTCTTCTTCTTCTTCTTCTTCTTCTTCTTCTTCTTCGTCTTCTTCTTCTTCGTCTTCTTCTTCCTTTGCTTCTTCTGTTCTTAGTATTCATCCGCTGTAACTCCGGCGGAAAGTTCATGTTGGTCGTCCACTTTTCGACTGTACTCTTATTCCAAAACTTATATTTAACATGAACATGCAACCCTTTTACAGATCCGGCTTATTTATATGCAGACGGTTGCTTGTCTCTTAGGCAGATGTATTCCAACTTCGAAGGAAACATCCCTAATTAGTCGCCTTGTGCGACATGCTTCTTGGGAGGCAGTGGGTTTTTCCCCCCTCACCAAAGGGGATCCGGAACCAGATTTTTTTTCATGCTTCTATTAAGCAGTTACATAGACATGACATTGTGATCTCAAATGTAGGTAAATTATATATGGGCAGTTATTTGTCATACCTTTGAAAGCCTTCTGTCTGCATTCACGTTTGATGGAATTCGTCTCCGGAGATGCTCAAATGCGTCGTTTATAGACTTCATGCGTCGTCTCTCCCTCATATTTGCTGCTTTCCTTTGTTGGTGCCTCTTGGGAACTCCATCCACGAGGTCTTGAAAAGCGGAGTCAAAAAAACCTACACAGTTCTCCTGGTCTGACTCGGGGGAGTCCATGTAGGCTTCATCGTGAAAATCAAGGAAATCCCCATACAGATGAGGCTCACCTGGGTAGTTGTAGGATGTTTCCATAGGAAACCCATTTGCGCCACAGAAGTCTAGAAATCCCTCGCCGAGGCCACACATATAGCCATCCATGGTTAGATCAATAGTACTTCTGGTAAACTACGTCAATGTGACACGTGATCTGTGCAAACAAGTGATACAACGGTTTTTTTTTTTTTTTTTCAAAAAGTGTATACTTTCTGCAGTAGGTATATGTTAATAAAAGTATACTTTCTGATGTAGTTATTTCATAGTAGTGGCTTCTAACCAAGTTTATCAAATATTGTAAGGTTAAACTATAAAGGATGACTGCGTTCTTGCATGTACTACAAATGTTTTTTTTTTTTTTTAATGTGTACTGTGTACTTACAAATACATCAATAAAACAAAGCGTTAAATAATACCGATGTTTTGTTGAAAGCGACAATAAAACGCCGGAAGTATATTAAACCACAAAAATAATGTTTTGACTTAGCAATGATCTTCAATGAACTTAGGTGTGCACTTGTTAATGGACATTGTCAAACGGCTAACTGTCAAATGTGCAAGCAATGGTCGCGTGCTGGTGTTTAAGCAGGGGTGAAAAGTGTCCCGCTGCGTCAATGACTTCAGTGATCAAATCATGATCACTTTAGGAGCTGGTACAATCCGAGCAGTGTAGGTGGGGGAAAAAATGTTTGGCACGCGCCATCCCCAATGCCACACGCGACCATTGTGCGACACGACACACGACAGTCGTCAAAGATTAAGCCAACCACAGGCCTCATTCAACAAAGCGCCGCCCAGAAACGCACGCCCTTTCTTGTTGAGTTTGAAAACGTGGGGATATTCGAGGCCCATCAAGATAACAGAAAAAAGAAGACAAAATATCTTAGGTGTAATAATTGTGCGTTCCCAGAATGAGAATTGTCACAAGTGACAATAGATAACGGAAAAGAAACAACAATCTAGAAGATAGAAGGGTAACTCTTTCAGCTACAGAAAGTGTTGAATTCAAAAGTGTCTATGCTCAAGTTTGTCTATCCAAGAGCAACAATGTTTATTTTTTAGTGTCACTGAATTCAAGAGTACAGCTTTGACAGAAAAGGTATTATAAGAACAAGTGGAACATAAGGGGTTAACATAACGCAAGAATGGGATAGGAAAAGTAAAGAAATGTGCACCATATGTAGTTAAACCAACGTATGTTGAGTTCATTGGTCTAAAAGAGTTATAACGATTTATTACTAAATATTATTTTCCACCATATAAGTATTATTTCTATTGTTTCGTTAGTATATCTTTAAAATATCGTATTAAACTGTTAAGAGCGACCTCCATACACCCCCACATCCCACCTCCTCAACCCCCCCCCCCCCCCCCACCCCCACGTTAAAAGTGGTAAGTACATAAAGAAGTGACATTTTTAATGGCTTCACAAATCCATTTATCTTTTCGTCATGTTTCCAGTGAGTGATTTTGTAATACCCATAGCTGCCCTACATTGACGTTGTCTTCTCTGCGCATTATATTCTCGCCGTTCTTGTCTATATGTGACTTCAATATCTTTACTATGCCATTGCTTATTGTTCATACAAAAGAATAGGTCTCAAGGCAGGAAGAATTAACTAAAAAGCAGGAGAGACTAGCTAAACGGCTGGGTGGACTAGTTAAATGGCAGGGTGGACTAGCTAAAGGGCAGGGTGGACTAGCTACAGGGCAGGGTGGACTAGCTAAATGGCAGGGTGGACTAGCTAAAGGGCAGGGTGGACTAGTTAAATGGCAGGGTGGACTCGCTAAAGGTCTGGGTGGACTAGCTAAACAGCTGGGTGGACTAGCTGAATGGCAGGGTGGACTAGCTAAACGGCTGGGTGGGGTAGCTAAATGACAGGATGGACTAGCTAAACGGCTGGGTGAACTAGCTAAATATCAGGGTGGACTAGTTAAATGGCAGGGTGGACCAGTTAAATGGCTGGGTGGACTAGCAAAAAGGCTGGGTGGAGTAGCTAAATGGCAGGATGGACTATCTAAACGGCTGGGTGGACTAGCTAATTGGCAGGGTGGACTAGCTAAATGGCAGGGTGGACTAGCTAAATGGCAGGGGGGATTAAGCTAAATGGCAGGGTGGACTAGCTAAATGGCAGGGTGGACAAGCTAAACGGCTGGGTGGACTAGCTAAATGGCAGGGTGGACTAGCTAAGGGGCTGGGTGAACTAGCTAAACAGCTGGGTGGACTAGCTGAATGGCAGGGTGGACTAGCTAAACGGCTGGCTGGACTAGCTAAATAACAGGGTGGACTAGATAAACGGAAGGGTGAACAATCTAAACGTCAACGGGTGGACAAACTCACGTCCAGCTGTATCTTTCAGTCCTACCAACTGAACCACGGTACATTTTCGGGGAGTCCCCCTCGAAAATAGGTTACTGGCATCGTTTCCATGTTGCATTGTGTGACATCTTAATACGTTTACAAAGTCCTGTGTTCTAAACGTATTCGTATTACAAATCTACAAGCGGATATTGTAAAGTGGATATACAGCAATTTTAATTCACGGAAGACAGTTGTGTTGTGATGTGTGTGTCACTGTTTCTAGTCAGTAGTTCGGATTTTTGGGAACTGGCTGTTTATTACTTTTCTACTTTAAATGTAGAAATCCTACTTTTAGGGATAAAACAAACAGGTAATTTAGAAGCCATATCTGGAGAATATCGACAGTTGTCAGGTGCAAACTATCTTGTGTTGGAAGAAAACTTGCTTTCATATTGACTGTGCATAAATGGTGCAACCAGACTGTGGATAAATTGTGTCAAGATATTTCGGAGCTCTAGGTAAGTGGATGAAAATAATATTTAATTTACTAACTAACCTCTCACAGCAAGTCACTCTTATCCTCTTTACTAATTGTTGACTAACAGTATAATTTTATGTTGTAGCAGTACACTAATAATATTAATCCTTAACCATTTGAATTATGCTTCGCGAACACTGGCTGCAAACTCTTGCGGAAATTTCTGGTAGTTCATCGACTTTTTTTTGCATATTTGCAGTTCTACGGTCTGTGTTAATTTTTGTAAACTGGCTTTTGCTTTGCTTCGCGAACACTGGCTATAAACTCTTGCGGAAACTTCTGGTTGCTCATTGACTTCTTTTGCATATTTGTAGTTGTACGGCCTGTTAATTTTTGTAAACTGGCTTTTGCTTTGCTCGCGAACACTGGCTGTAAACTCTTGCGGAAACTTCTGGTTGCTCATAGACTTCTTTTGCATATTTGTAGTTGTACGGCCTGTTAATTTTTGTAAACTGGCTTTTGCTTTGCTTCGCGAACACTAGCTGTAAACTCTTGCGGAAACTTCTGGTAGTTAATCGACTTCTTTTGCATATTTGCAGTTGTACGGTCTGTTAATTTTTGTAAACTGGCTTTTGCTTTGCTTTGCGAACACTGGGTGTAAACTCTTGCGGAAATTTATATCTAAAGATGGCCGTGGACAAACTAAACGGCAAAGGCGGGAAAGTCAGCGGGAACTAGCTAAACGGCAGGGTGCACTAGCTAAAGGGCAGGATGGACAAACTAAACTGCGGGGTGGGGGGGGGGCTAACGAAACGGCAGCGTAGACTAGCTAAGTAACAGCATAAACTAAATGGCAGAAGAGGGAGGAAAGACTAGCTAAACAACAGGGTTGACAAGCTAAATAACGGGTTGGGGTTAGAAGCGACTAGCTAAACAACAGCGTTGACATGCTAAGACAATAGGGATGGGGGGAGGGGTGGGGAGGAGACACTAGCTAAACAACAGGGTTGGAAAGATAATTGTCGCGGGTGGGGGGGGGGGAAGACTAGCTAAAAAATAGGGTTGACAAGCTAAACGCCGTCGGAAGAGGATAGCCAAACAAACGGGTTGACAAGCTAAACATCGGGGGCGAGGCCAGCTAAACAGGGTTGGTTGACTGAACGACAGGACAGACTAGTTAAAAGGCAGGAATTACTAATTAAATGGCAGGGTTGGCTAACCAGGTGTTAAAGTGGACTGTTTAAACTACAAGGTTGACTGACAATCTATCAGATTATTAAACTGAGGGTTGGCTATTTAAACGAGACTGTTGGCAATTGTGAATTGCTGTGTAGTGTTGGTTAAAATATCTTCAAAACTGAAACTCAAACTACTACAATTAATACTACTTCTACTTCTACTACTACTACTTCGACGACGACGATGGCTGCTGCTGCTGCTGCTGCTACTACTACTACTACTACTACTACTACTACTACTACTACTACTACTACTACTACTACTACTACTACTACTACTACTACTACTACTAAAACTTCTAATAATAATAATAATAAAAACAACAATTATCAGAAGCAGAAGAAGAAGAGGAAGACGCTTGGTAAAATTAATCGCGGGGAGTTCCCAGGATAGTCCAACAGTATAGGAGTGTTAGGGTGTGAAATGAACCACCGACTAACACAAACCCTAACCGCCCTATAATATTTGACTTTCCCGGAAACTCCCGGCGAAATCTTGGAGTCCCCGAGATAGGCTCTAATAAAAGAAAAAATCAATCTTCCTAATCGCAAGCCCCCTTGTCATCACATCAGGCTAACATTAGTTTAGAAGGGGGAAAATTAAAACGCTACAAATGAAACACAGGATGCCTTCACGAGGACTTAGTGATCTTGAGGCATGGCGTCCGCCTCGAGTGCTGTAGATCCGAGTTCAGGCCCCGGTGATGGCTAGGATTTTTTTAGGCAACCTCTAGTTATTTCCCCCTGGTCTCTGGGTAGTAAGATCGGACCCCCGTGTGTATTGTTGCGCATGTAAAAAATCACTTGGCAGTTGGAAATCGAAAAGAGCAGCCTAACGGGTAAAATGTTGGAGGTAAAATTATACTCAAAGTATTTCAGGATCCTCACCGGTGCTACGGAGTTCGTGCACAGCGCTGAGATTCTTCAGGCTTTGGCTTGAGTTAGAAGCAGAGCGGAGCACTAATGGGTTACCACCCTTGTGCATGATGTTGATCCGTTGTTCAAACGGAAACAGAAACATATGGGTAGCAAACAGCGACTCTACTGGAATATTTTAAAATTAAGCGGGCCGTGTGTAAACAAGTCA